AAAGGTTCTTTGTGTTGAGTTAGTCTGTTAATTCTGCAATGTTCACATGCAGATACTTTATTCTTTACATCCTCGCTGATGCCCGGCCACCACACCAACGGGTTGGCCCGTTCACAGCATTTAGTTAATCCTTGATGTCCTTCATGGTTGAGGTTTAGGATTTCTCCTCTTATTTAGTTTGGAATTACAATGCAGTTGCCTTTAATCATAAGTCCATTTGACTTGATTATCCACGCAGTGCAATGTAGTCTTTTTGTCACTTACTTAGTGTCCTTTTAGATACTTGGGTCAGCCCAAGTATCCTGAAGTTGCGTGTCTGTCAAGATTGCTTTTTGTAGATGGAGTAGTCGTCGTCTTCTTTTTTTTTTCTTTTCCCCCTGACACTGATCTGTATGTGTCAACTGTGTCCGCGGACACCTTTACATCATCTTCAAGCTCATGGTTAGCTGAGTGTGATGCTGGGCTCTGTGACTGTGTCTGTTACTACCGGAGTTTTCCCAGGAACATATTTAGCAATTGGATCAAATTGCATCAACCTCTGTAACAGACATTGGCATCTTAGTGGTACTTGATCCAGGTCTTTTCTGTTGATGAAGGTTACAGGTTGTTTGAGTGTAATGGGTGACCAGATGTCCCGATTTTTGGGTCTTTTTCTTATATAGCTTCTATTACCCCCCCACCCCCTGTCCTGATTTTTCACCTGATGTCTGGTCACCCTAGAGTGTAAGCAAATTCAGTCTGCATCAATATCTGCAAAAGGTCTCTCATGCACTTGCCCGTCACTCCTTTTCAATCGGTGCATATCGTTTTTCTGCTTCTGTGAGTGGGCAAGAGCAAAATGCAGCTGGCTTCTACTCAGAGCCATGTTGGTGCAACGATACACCGCCTAGTCCATAGCTACTTGCATCTGCACTGACGATTGTGGATTTGTGCATATCATAGTACTTGAGAACTGGAACGATGGAGATAATTTCTTTTACCATAGCCCAGATGTGTTCAGTTCAATCCGTGGTTTTGTCACTGCAGAGAGACCTTGTTGATATCGAGCAAGGTAACTTACCATCCCTAGTACATGTCTCAGTTCTGGTGAATGTATTCCACCAATGAAGGTATTCCGTTTTTGAATGGCTTTTACTTTCTTAGTGCTAGGACTGATTCCATCTTTGTCCCAAAAACTAGATTTGGGTTAGGCAGAAAATGCACTTTGCCTAGTATAGCTTTAGCTTCAGTCTGGACTGGCCGATGTAGGCTCAGGACTTCATTGAGGGTTTTCTTGTTCTTCCATTGAAGAACCATATATCAGAATATCGTCCATGAAAAGTATAACTCTGTTTGTGTTTGTTAACAGTTCTGCCATCTTTCTTTGTGAACTTTCAGGTGGACCAGTGATCACAAAAAGTAATCTTCAGAATCTCCCAAAGGTGCAATAAATGTAGTCAGTTTAGCACTGTCTTTGGCTAAAGAAATTTGCCAGAATCCGCTCGAGGCATCCACCTTGGAGAATACTGTCGCTCCTTTCACTTGGGGAAGGAAGCCATCCAGTGTGTGTGTGGTAGAGGGGGCTGTTGGTATTTTGCCACCATCATACATGATCTGGGCAGTGAATTCTTTCTCTTTATGATGGCTGGAGTTGTCCATCCTTTTTCTCCATCCCACTTGTGACCCCATGACATGCTCCTGGATCAGATATAGACTGGCTCCAGAGTTTACTTCTGAGCATGATACACACCAGATGTGTTCATCATATGATCCTTTAACGCACTGCCAGGTATGGCTGAGTTTAGCTTAAACACGGTATTTTACACATACATAGCATCACCTGGTGACTGAATGGTATAATACAGTTCATCATTCCAGTACATACACACACACAGCTCCTTTCTTCTCATCCTAGCAGGATCTCTTCCGTCTCTCGTCTTGCCTCCTCGGCTCTCAGGCTCCCTGCTCCCCCTTGTCTTTGTTCCTCCACCACTGTTCCCCTCCCCTCTTACCCCACTCGCTCTCCAGGGCCCTGCTGAGCCTTAGTCCCTTGCGTTCCCTTCCCTCCTCCTCCTTTCTTTCACTTGAGTTTCTCCCTCCTCCTTTCCCGCTCCCAATGTCTCTTCTTGTCCCCCACCCTTCCCCTCACTCTCTTCCACTCAGCTCCTTTTTCCTCCACCCACCTCACTGCTGCCAGCCCCCTTGGCTCTGATTTTTGCTTCTCCCCGTTCTTTGAGCTGCTCTTGGTTTTGAGACCCACCTGCAATGGATTCTGGGGGCCTGGCACCATTGCTACTGCAGGGGGATAGTGTGAGGGCCTGTGTATGGAAGCTCCTTGCCTCCAGTGGATCTCAGAATCCACAGGGTTAGGGGGTGATACCCCCAGCTCCTTGCATGGGGTGTTGCCCCACCCCCACAGGAGGCCCCCTCAATCTCCACTCTCTTTCGGAGGAGCGGGGATGGGCTGCCCTCTGTGGGACAAATGCAGGCAGTGTGATAACCCACCCAGACTGCTGTAAGGCATCTGGAAGCCATGTCCTCTTTCCAGCCAGCCCAAGTGGCACAGAGAGGGGACCAATCCTGAATGTTTCAGACCGACAGTCCATCTAAACCAGTATCCTGGCCTCAGTAGTCCTGTCACATGGCATAAGGATGACAGGATCGGGCCCTCCAGTGCCATGGATCCTACCTGGCCCATTCTGGGTCAGATCCCCTGGTAAACTAGAGGGCCTCCACTGAATGTTGGGAATTCCCATTTCCACCAGGTGAGGGCAGGACACCAGCCTGCTTGGATCCAGTTCTCTCTGGCCTGCTTTTTCTTCCCTCTAATTTTGATCTCCTTACGAGGATCGGCGGGTTTCAGTCTGCTCTCTTACACCAGTGTAACTGATTTCAATGCCATGAATGAGAGGGGAATCTGGCCTCGGGGTTACTCCTGATTTACACCAGAGTGAGTGAGAGTGATCTCAGGTCTGTCACTAGAGCTTCTTAAAAAAAAAGGGGGGGGGACACATCATTTTAGTGAAAATCTTCTAAAAAATTATGTCCCTTTTTTTTAATCACGATTTTGAATTTCAGAACCTTTCAGCCAGCTCCACGCATTACATCTCCTGGCCCATCCCCTTTTGCTTCTGTCCCATGCCTGATTCAAACCCCGCTGCAGCTACATGTTGACACACGGCTGGGGGCAGTTTGGGCCTAGGGTCATTTTGTACTTGGGAGGGGAATGGGAATAAGCTGTCGGAGCTGCGGAACTTGGTGAGGAATCAGGATCGCATTCCTGCGTCGATGTCTCTCTAGTGATCAAGAGCAAGGGGCAGAAAGAGACAAGGGAAGCCCAGTAGCTAGCAAGTCATTGGGCCTTTGCCTTGAGGCGTCAGCCAATCTTTAACCCATACAGAGAAGTAAATGTCACTCTGCGATAGCAGCACCTTTTAGACCCTGCTCTCTGAGAATCTGAGGCCCAGTCATGTGGCGGCTAGGAGCATTCTCCACTGTTTACACCAAATCTCTCTTCTCTCTTCCCCTCTGACATGACCCGGCCCTACAGCAAAGGGTGAGTAGCATGGCTGTCCTTGTGCTGCGTGGGGCTGATCAGGTTTACACTGCATGCATGCTGCACGAGGAAACAGGTTTGAAGTGAAGATGGATCTGGGGAGGGCAAACTAGGAGTGGTCTAAGCAACTTTCTGTCACCATGGTATGTTTGCCAGGGCCCCTTTTCCTGATGTCCTGGGGCTTGGGCAGGGCAGCTGCAAATAGACCAGAGCAAGAAGGAAACCCAGCTCCTCTGGGCTCAGCTTATTGGAAGAGTTCAGTGATTACAGTAAAAAAAACTCACTCCTTAGAGCATTGTTATATTTGGATCTTGAGCTCTGTGATTGGTCATTTAGTCACATGGAGTGATTTCTCTTCCCTGATTGGATGCACTAACCCTTATAAACAAAATAACTTTCTGAGGCTTGCATCTCCAATGCAAGCAGCTGGAGATATACAGGCTTCGGGGCTTGTGGCACCTGGGCAATCTCAGCCTGCCCTCTGTGCCCCAGGACGGGCCATGGTCATCGAAGAGTTAGCAATAGCAGGGCTCTTCCCTGGCAGAGGCAGAAGGGAAGGCCCAAGCCCCATTGACTGGCTGCCAGGACAGAGTTGGGAGTTTGTTCTGAACTCTGGGAAATAAAGGTCACTTTTCTCCTCACTGACTTGGGGCCAGATCCCTCCTGGTGTAAGGCAGCATCGCTCTCCTGACTGTAATGGAACTGTGCCAGTTTACACCAGCTAAGGGTTTGGCCCAGGCACTTTAACACGTTGGCCAGACCACAGAGACACCATCTCGGCTTGTGTTCACATCTGCACCACTGACTGGGCCATTCCCTGTCTGTCCAGGTCAGAAGGGCCAAGTGAGCAGAGCTGGTGACTTTCACTATAAAACGCACGGACTGGAGTGCTCTTAGAAGACAATTTCACCTGCCCCCACTGGGCCTGATTCTCTTCTTACTGGCACCTGGTGCAAATCAGGAGGGCCAGCGTAGACAAGAAAAGAATTGGGCCCAATGCACTCTGTTAACACCCACTCACCATCCCTGCCACTTGATGAAGGGGGACATTGTGTAACTGTTTCTCTCCTGGCCAAGTCCTCAGGATTGACTTCTTCCCCATTTTTTCCTAAAGACTCTTTGGGATTGGAGAGGGGGTGTCGCTGACTGACGTACCTGCCTTGGCAAAGAGTTTTTTGGCCAGTCTCGTTGGGTCCAACCTTTGTCTGTGAAATGCGTTTGCTAAGAGCCAACTCCTAGCTCCATGAAAGCCAATGGTAAAGGCCCCTTGACCAGGATTTGGCCCCAGGGAAGGCTGCCCAAGGGATTTCCTCACTCTGCAGTGAGCTTCAGTCTTCCCTTCCCTCTCCAGCTGGGTAGAGAGCATAGACCCTGGGAAACCCAGACCCCTCCCTGCTCTCAGCTCTCTCTTCACTCCCCCTCAAAGTAACACCTTTCAGCAGGTGCTTCTCTGCTTCCCTTCCAGCTCCAAGACTGCCCGTGGGAAGAGCATGGTTGGCGGCCGATGGAAGTAGCACCGTCTGATGGGCACAAGGCAGAGGAGAGGAGAGGCCCAGGCACGGAGTGGTGCATTCCTGTTTGGTCAGCCAGCTGGATTCCGTTTGACCACGGATCCTGCACGAACCCACCCGCCACCCCTAAGGACACAAACCAGTTGTGCTTGCACAGCCCTCACTGCAGGGGCAGCACTGTCTGCGTGTGGAGCAAATGCTTTGCTAGGTCGGCGCTGCTTGCTCTTTTCACTGAACCCCGGGATGTTGCTGTGTCTGTAAATAAAGAGAATCAGGAAGGGATATGTGCCTTTCCTGCCCAGTCATCTTTCACATGGCCTGCTTGCTGAACTTGACCTGCTGCCCTGCGTCCAGAAGATGCAGGCTGTGGAGCTGACCCTCAGCTGGTGTATGTCACTGTGGTGCCATGCGAATATACGCTACCGGAGGATCGAGCTCGCTGAGTTCAGTGGAGCTACGTTGAGCTACAGCAGCTGAGTGTCTGCTCTCTGCTAGTGCTGGATGAACTTTAGTTTCAGAAAGGTCCCAAAACTGTTGGATGAATTCCAGAGATGTATCCAAACAGCCCACTTGATTTTGAGAAGCTGGGCTGGGAAACTCTTGAAAACCAATGAAGGGCTTGTCTACACAGGATCTTTGGGTGCAGTAAGCCAGGATGTGACTCTACAGGCCGCTAGCTTGCCAGGCAGGAATATCCCATGTGGACACCGCCCCAGTGCACGGAAAGTTCTGAGAGCCCTTTGACTTAGGCTGTGTCTATACTACAGAGCCACTGCCAGAAGGGGGAGTTCTGCCAGTCCAGGAACACCAACTCCCCACATGACATTAGCACTCCGCTGTTTGCACAGCTGTGTCTACACTGGGGGTTCTGCTGGTGTAGCTCTGGCACTAGGGGTGTGGTTTTTCACACCCTGAGAGACATAACCAGGCTGCTATAAATTTGAAGTACAGACCAAGCCTTCCTGCACTTTACAAGCAGTAGTAACTAAAGCGGCCTCTGGGACTTTCACTGCGCTGTAGCAGTATCTACATGGGACATTGCCACACGGCAATTTAGTGGGCTGTAGATTTATACCCTGGCCAACTGTACAGTAATGTCTCATGCAGATAAGCCCTTAATGAAGCTAGTGAGGCACTTCCAGCTGGTGGATGGGCCAGAAATATCCTGAGGCTATGGCCCCTCTCCCATACTATTCCAGTGCTCCCTATTCTGATCAGGAACTACAGAGCTGCAGGAAAATCAACACTAATGGAAAACACAGTTAACCAGGCTTTTTCCCAGCCCCAGCCTCTGATTTGAGCTGCAGTGCAAGGTTCATATTTTATCTAGGCTGGCTTGCTCAATCTCTGTCCTAGATTTAGAGCTGTGGGGTTGTCCAGCTTGTGCGAGGGGGAAAAATTGACCTCTGTCCTGCTTCAAGTCACAAACAACTCACTCTCTAATTTCAAATCCACTCGGTTTAGTTTCATTACCTAGCTCTTAATGCTGAATGCTCCCACCTGACGCAATGGAAGGAACATGTGCTTTTTCTCATGTGCCGGTCTCGCCTGCAGCACAGGGCCCTTGGATATCCGTAAGTGGCCTCCTCTGCCCCCACGGGTAGGCATTGTAGATCCCCAGGGCCTCTGGGCCTGCCCCATGGATCAGGCGGTGGGTTGTCTCTGCAGCACCTCTTGCTCCTATGAATACTTGGAGGCCCTGCTGCCAACTCCCACCAGCTCCCTGCCTTGCCTTCCAGATTGGTAGACCCAGGAGCCTTTGTGTGCTTCTGACACCATCCGCTAAAGGTGTGCGCCAGCGCGCTCTATAAATCCATACCTGTGTGCCTATGGAATCAAATCTCTTAGCTAGTTAGCCTGGAATATTGCTAGGACAAGTCAGCACAGCAGCTATAATATTTGCTCGTGTGTAGAGCACATATCCACTGCAAATAGAGGTGGATATAATCTCTTTGCAATGGGGCTGGTGTATGATTCTGCACATGTGTGTCATGGGAGAGCATGTCTGGTCCCTGGGCGTGGGGCCTTGGCATCCCCAACTGGCCTAGCTCCTGGGACAGTGAGTACCTCGCTGTTGCTCAGCAGAGTCCTGCAGTGGAATAGGGACTGGCTCTGAGTAGCTGCTCAGTAAGGACCAGGACTGTGCAGGGGTCTCCAGAACATGGGAGGAGGATCTACGACAGGCTCTAGCTGCCCATAAATGGGTGAGATAGGCCAAGAGGGCGACCAGATGGGCTCCTTTGTCCTGCAGTGCTGTCTGCCCTCCCTGTGGCACCTGTGAGCTGTCTGCATCCATCCCAGCCCTGTGCTCAGTAACTGAGCTGGCTGGCAGTGGAGTCAGCCAACTGGCATCTCCCTGCTGCCCCTTGAAGGTGGGTGGCACCATCCTGCCCCCTCCAAGGAATTGGGGGCACACCAGGCCTCAGCCACCCTGCAACGAGCCTCTCTGAGGGGGAGTGACCATCCACACCATGAAAGGCCAACGTGAACGGAGGGGGCCGGCTTGACCTTTGCTGGGGGGGGCAGAGAGGAGTGTTCCCTGCCCGCACCCCAGCGAATGGGTCAGTGTGGTTGAGTTGGTGAAGCTGATCTAGCAGAGCTCACAAAAGCCCAGTTCATAGGGACCATCTGATGGCAGCAGGGGCCTCAGCCTGGGTGGGGTGAGATTGTTTCCCATCTGTCGTCTGCCACAGAGGCCATGAGCAGGGGGCAGTGGGTGCTGGGACCCTGGCAGCCATGCAGAGGAAGGTCCTCTGACATGCATCCGCATGGGCTCACCACGAGGTGGCACCATCCGTGCACTCCCCGAAGGCCTGGTGTGCTGGCCACAAGCTGGGGTGACACCTTGCTTCCCACACAGCTGCCTGTTTAAAGCAGTGCTGGCCCCCGGCCAGGCCAGGCTGATGCAGCCACACCTGTGCGCTCTCCCAGGGCAACGCCTGGGCGCTGCCCCACCCCATGCATGTTGTTCTGAAGCTAAACCACGAGGGAGCGGCTGAGTCAGCATGTGGGGAGAGCCAGCTCTCAGCTGGGCTGTCCCCAGTCACAGCCCCCATCCCTCTCCCTCTGCCTCAAAGGCCTCTCCAAGTAGTAAGTCACCTGCTGGGTTCAGAAGGGCCAGAGACCCAGCCAGGGGCCTAACTGCGGAGGGTGGTTTCTCTGAACAAGCCAGCGAGCAGTGAAGGAATCCAGGGCAGTAAGAGCGATGGTGAATGTTAGCGTGGTCAGAACCCAGCCCCCATGTGCCCGCTGCTGGGGTCAGGCTGCATAGCACCAGGTCCTGGCTCCGGGGACGTCATCTAGCCAGCCAGCCAGCAGCAGCAGCCTTCTGCTCGCTACAGTGGCTCTGCAGGAGAGCAGAGGTGGGTTGCAGAAGCCATCAGTTGGCTCAGGAGCATGCTGCATGCTTGGGAATCCCTTAGCCCTGCAGAAAGCCATGCACATGGAAAGGGAACAGGGTCCCAGCCCTGGCAATCACAGAGGCACTGTAGAACATTTTGCTTGTGAGTGACTGATCACTGGGATGATGCTGGGAGCTGCCCCTTGCTAGGCCTTCATGTGACGGTGGATGGTACAGTCTCCTCAGCCAGCTGTAGATAGAAAGAGGCGTTTTTGGCACTTGCTGCTCTCTGGGAGTCTAGGTGGGGAGATAAGGCTGGCAGGACCACAAACTGTGCCCTAGCAAGACCACCGGGGTCAGGCGCATTCTGCTGAGGGGATGGCTCTGGCAGTTCTTCGAAGTGCCAACCAGTGGTACCGCTGTTTGGCCTGTGTTGAGCCTGAGTCAGCTGTGACCACACGTTCCTCACAGGGTCAGATATTCCAAAGAGCTTGGCACCCAATGTGCACCCAATATACAACCAACATACACCCAATGTACACTCAACATGTACTCAGCATACTTTCAACATACACCCAATGTACACCCGACATGCACTCAATGCACACCCAACATACATCCAACACACACCTAATGCACACCCAATGTAATCCAACATACACCCAGTGTACACCCAACATGCACCCAGCATACACACAATGTGCACACAACTTGCTGAGCACAGTGGAAAAATCTGCCCATATATTTTGGTGCCTAAACAGGCACTGAGCTTTTTTGAAAATCAGGCCTTGATTTGGCAAAGCCTTTAAACGTGCTTACTTTTAAGCATGTGAATAATCTAATCTGTCACAGGGTGACTGGCCCTTTAAGAGGGAGAGGGGACCTGTGCACCTCTGACTGGTCAGCTGCCACTCAGGTTTAAGAGAAGGCACCTGGGCTCTATAGAAAGGGAGATTATTAGGAAGGGGCAGGTGACAACTGCCAGAAAAAAGAGGGAGAAATGGTAGCTGGGGGAAAGAAGCTGAAGGCGTGCTGTACCTGTGAGTTACCAGTGATGAATGATGAGGACTGGCTGGTGCTGGGGAGCTGGGCTGAGTTGCAGGAGGACTTGTGTAAAGGAAGGTGGGGATGAACCAGGTTGGTCACTGCAAGCGGGGCTGGAAGTAAGGGGCTGACTCTGCAGGGTAGCTCTCAGGAGGGGACAGGGTAGGGCTCACCAAGGAGACCTGGGGAGTGGGCTGCTCTGGGAAGTCCCCCTTGCAGCAGGCCTGACCCAGGAAGAAGGTGCTGGGGGGGGAGGGAGGTTCCCTGAGAAGGGATAGGACTTTCAGACAAGGTAGGAGGCCTGAGAAGGAATCTTGGAACTCTCAGGCAGAAGGTCTAGTGAGTGGAGACTGGGAACAGGGGCTGACTGGTTAGTGACTCTCTGGATGGTCAGCTGGGGATGATTCCCTTTGAAAGGGATTGAAGAGCTGTTGTGTTGTCCTTGTGTTGTTTTGATGCCCCTTCGTCTGACTAGATGAAAGGGAAACACCCTCCCTGCTCAACAAAGCACATGCTTATGTTTTGTTTGGCTGTACCAGAGCCTGAATGTGGAGCTGTATGGTTGAGTTCTATCAGTGTAGCTGTAGCCTTATAGCCCACAGCACCCTTATGAACTCCTGTAGCCTCCCCAGATGTAAACCAAGAGGCAACAGGAATGAACCCTTCAGAACAGGCAGGTAAACAGTTGTATAGCAATACCGGGTAGTGGTCATGAGAGCCATGCAGTGCAAAATCAGAGTGAGGTAGCTACAGCGGGGCTAGAGCGTGCCAAAGTGAGCCAGAATGTGCCCTTCCACCCGCACTAGGTCTAACCACAAGGACTTACGGGCAGGAATTGGTATTTTTGTATTTATTCCTGGATGTGATCAGGACAAAGTGCTTCATTTCCACCAGTGGATGTGGCTTCTCCTGGCACAACAAGGTGATGTGGCTGTGGCAGAACAATATCCACATAGATTGCATTACAGCTCCACCTACTAGGAAGCTAGGGTTCAAAACCTGTCACCTTGTCTTCCGCTTGAAAATAATTGTGCATCTTCTCCTACTTCATTACAGTTTCTGCCAACTTTTGACGATAGCTGAGGCATCAGTTGATATTTGTTGTTAACAGTAAGGGTGCTACATAGTTCCTGCTGCACTACTGTGTGTTGACACCTAAACCTATATTTTTTCAGAGGTTGATTTTTGGTTCAGAACTATTCAACACAGTCATTTCAGGAAAGCCCAACTTCCTGTTTTTGCACTGTTAGTCCAATGTTGCTGAATGCAATGTCTATTCTTTATTTATCATAGAA